GGAGGGAAGAAGCCCCAAGATTTCCCAGGGAGTGGATTGAGTAGCTGGGTTCTACTGGATGCAAAGGATCAGGGAGAGTAAAGGTAAGCCCCGGAGCCCCAGAAAGAGGCTGTCAGCCCCAGGAAGAGGGAAGTAGAGGGAGGGGAGGGCGGGGCCAGGACCAGAAGCTGTGCTCCGGGGGCCCAAGAAAGGCACTGAGTTGGTCTGGGTGAGAAGGGTCAGGAAGCAGTATTGGTTCCCCAGGTGTCTGGGGCCCCAACACTAGGAATGGCGCAGGGCCCAAACTAGGAGTATAGAACGGTGGGAGGGATGGAAGGGTGAATATGCCTTAGGGAGTCCCGGCGTGAGAGTTGCGCTATAGACTTACCCCAAGGGGCCTCAGGATGGTAGTGCAGGCTAGGAGAGTTAGGCGGTGGTCCAGGCCCAGGAAAGCAGAGAGAGATGAGGGTGGGGCCAGGACCAGAAGCGGTGCTCCTGGAGCCCAAGAAAGGGACTGAATTGTTCTGGGTGAGAAGGATCAGGAAGCAGTATGGTTCACCAGGTGTCTGGGGCCCCAAGACTAGGAATAGAGCAGGGCCCAAACTAGGAGTATAGAACGGCGGGAGGGGTGGAAGGGTGAATATGCCTTAGGGAGTCCCGGCGTGAGAGTTGCGCTATAGACTTACCCCAAGGGGCCTCAGGATGGTAGTGCAGGCTAGGAGAGTTAGGCGGTGGTCCAGGCCCAGGAAAGCAGAGAGAGATGAGGGTGGGGCCAGGACCAGAAGCGGTGCTCCTGGAGCCCAAGAAAGGGACTGAGTTGGTCTGGGTAGGAAGGATGAGGAAGCAGTATTGGTTCCCCAGGTGTCTGGGGCCCCAAGACTAGGAATGGCGCAGGGCCCAAACTAGGAGTATAGAACTGCAGGAGGGATGGAAGGGTGAATATGCCTTAGGGAGTCCCGGCGGGCTGCACTATAGACTTACCCCAAGAGGCCTGAGGATGGTAGTGCAGGCCAGGAGAGTTAGCTGGTGGTGCAGGCCCAGGGAAGCCGAGAGGGGTGAGGGCGGGGCCAGGACCAGAAGCGGTGCTCCTGGAGTCCAAGAAAGGGACTGAGTTGGTCTGGGTGAGAAGGATCAGGAAGCAGTATTGGTTCCCCAGGTGTCTGGGGCCCCAAGACTAGGAATGGCGCAGGGGCCAAACTAGGAGTATAGAACTGCGGGAGGGATGGAAGGGTGAATGTGGCTTAGGGAGTCCCGCACGGCGCGGAGAGCTGCGCTATAGACTTACCCCAAGAGGCCTGAGGATAGTAGTCAATTCATAATTTTTTTTAAAAGTAATTCTGTTTAAAAGCTAGCTGAAGGAAGACCCTATCTCAAAAAACAGAAAGATATTCTGTCGGATTGCCCACTCCAGAGCCAGGACTGGCCTGGGCTGCAGAAGCCCACGAATCAGGCCCGGAGGCTCAGCTGTGCAGCAACCCTGAGGTCTCAGTGGCAGCCAGGGCAGGGTTAGGGCCTCCCCTGTGGTGAGTCCTGCCTGGCACAAGCCACCCCGCCTCTCTCCACAGCCTCCAGAGAAGGAAGGTGCCCTGCCCCGGCAGGTGGGCAACAAGACGGAGTGTGGCCTGTTGGGCTTCGTGCTGGATCTGAAACAGGACTATGAGCCAGTGCGTAGCCAGATGCCAGAGGAGAAACTGTACAAGGTCTACACCTTCAACTCCGTGCGCAAGTCTATGAGCACTGTCATCAAGATGCCCGACGAGAGCTTCCGCATGTACAGCAAAGGCGCCTCTGAGATAGTGCTCAAAAAGTAAGCCACTAGACAGCTTCAGACATCTGGACAGCCCAGCACCAGCCCTGCCCAAGCTGGGCCCAGCAGCATCGCTGGGCTGCGGGGGACCATCCAGCCCCCAGGTCACACAGCAAGGCTCCCCTTAGAGCCCGCACTTTTCCCCTGTGGCCTCTTTAAAACACTGCCTCCCTGAGTCACTGGATTCAGCCCATGGTCACCCTTAGAACTCGCTCATATCCTTTTACCTCAGGCTGGTGGATGGTAGCCATGATCTTTGTTAACTGGCTCCTCTAGCTCCAAGTGTGAGAGGTGAGTCAGGAGACTAGACAAGTCATTTCCCCTCAGCATCTCCATTTCACCACTTGTGCATTGAGAAAGCCCAGAGGCTCTCAACCCTGACTTATACATTAGAATCACCTCAATGAACTTTAAAAGAAAGGAAGCTGAGAGTGGTGGTGCACACCTTTAATCCCAGCACCCAGGAGGCAGAGGCCGACAGATCTCTGTGAGACTGAGGCCAGCCTGGTCTCCATAATGAGTTCTAGTCCAGTCAGAACTACATAGTGCGACCCTGTCTGAGAAAGAAAGAGGGGATACAGGGTGGGGGGAGGGAGGGAGGCAGG